TCCGTTTCTGGTCACAGTTGTGTTTCCGTGACGCAAGTTCTGCAAAGAACATGGCTGTCGTCTTTTCCAAAGTGGTGATCAAATTAACCTGTGACTCTCCTGGCCATCTGATAGTGCTGTGAGTCATTCCCCTGTTTTATTGGAGTTAACTGTGCCCATGATGAGAAGTCCTTCGAATTGAAAGTGTCGCCGCTGGGCATTGAGCACGTTGCCGCTCGTTTTATGGTTGGCGTTTCTCAACAGTGTTGTTTGAAAAGCACAATGTAGTTCCTGCTCTTCTTGGCTGTACTGTTTACCTATTCTACCGGGGTACTTCTCTAACTCTTTTACCTTCATTCCACTTCCTGTCGCATATTCTTCATATAATTAGCAGTAAATTAAGATCCATTCTTGCTCCACAGTCATTCAATTCAACAGACACTATATAATGCCAATATCTATCGCAATAAATGCGATATCGTCAGCGAACGTGGGTATCCGAAATTACTCATCTTTTTATAGCTCATTCACGATGTGTTAATCAATGGGAAAGCTTATTACAATTCGCATGAGAACTTCATTAATAAAAAGTATTACTCACATGTTCTGCAAAAACTGGCAAAATTTAAATTTTATTTCACGCTCATTTCACGTGCTGAGAAATGTTAGTTTAAGTTACTACTGACTTTTTAATTAAATTAAATAGCGATACTTATTTATACTCCATAAAAGTTATCTAGATCTGAATATTGCGGAACAATCAGGAAAGCGTAAATCACTGTATGCAAATCTATTGAATTTGACCTCAACATTTTTGTAAATATTACATCGAGAAAAAAGCGTTCTATTTGAAACTGCCCCAAATTAGATCTTAGAAAGTTAATTATTCGTGAATATTTATTACTGTTTACAGTTAGAAAATAAATTTGGTCTTCATGGTATAAGTTTGATTTTACGCTATACTTTCTGAATGCTTTCGGATTCCTCACATAACAAATAATTTTCCCTGAGATTAAAATTTTTCTCTCCATTTTCTGATTCTTTCCATGAGTCTCATAAAATCTGTGCCTGAAGAGAAAAAGTAGAGAGATTAGGTTGTCATCCTCGATTTTAGTAAATTCGGTTACACATATTTCAGTAAGGTTGAAAATTTTATGTAAAATCTTCCTACTGATCGGACATGCAGTTGATGTTGGGGACATTTTAAAATAATGGTAGCACCGCCTGAGGTCGTAGTTTCGTTGGTTTCAAAATGTATGTTTGTGGTAATCCATTGTCAAGAGTAGAATAAAACATAAGCTTTAAAAGTGGATACTGAAGATGATGATCAAGGAGTATTTAGTTGGGATTTGATGCATTATTTCATCTAAATTCTTTCCTTTTTCATTATCTTTCTCTTCATGACTTCTGAAAAGACAACTCGCACTGGCATCGTCTCAGCAACCCTCATAACTCCCGCGTTACTTTCGGGAATGCTTTGAAGAAGAATTCAATATCCTAATAACGCACCCATCCCAAACTACTTCATTCCACATTGATTTTTCATGTTGTTTTTTAAATAACAAAGTGCAACTATCGCATACATACATGCATATACATACACATACACATACACACACATACACATACACACACATACACATACACACATACATACACGTATGTATATTTATATATGTATATACACTGCACATCTCATCAATGGATGAGCAAGCATGCACGCCCATGCATTTCCAAGGAGTGCTCTATCGGGTACGTACACTTGGTGGCACATACATCGGGGGAATTGCTGAGCAGCTCACCTAGCATACTTTCTTTGCCTCATTTCGTTTAGGTGAGATGTGTTTATTGTAAATTGTTCTCAGCATTGATGCTAGTTACAGCGCTAATGTGTTCGACAATAAATCGATTTATTTACCTGTCATCTTCCTACTCGTATATTCATCTTGACCCTTACCTTATCCATTTCTTTCTTACTAAGCTGCAGTTAAGTTTTTTGAAATGAGCTAATAGATGCACAATGTGTCTAATTATCCCGTTTGATATTGCAATTAAAATCACTGCAATTAATTCATAGAATTTTCATTTGTCTCATTAGTCAGATTCGGATCGATAGTGCATGTTATGATGTTCTGAAAGTTGATGAATATGGCATCCGATGAGTGCTCTCAAACTGTTAGGAAATTAAAACCGATACCGTTGCAAGGAGATATCTCGGATGTTCTTACTAATAACTTTGTCTCATTGTCCATTGGTGTTAAACAGTCAAACCCCAGCAGTTCTTATCCTTGCACCAAAACCAACAGAGACAACAATCATTATCCTGAAAGGATATCGCCATCAGAATTCGTTACCTTACAAAGGTTACGTTCAAGTGCATTAGCATGCAGGACAAGCACAACAATCAAAACTAGCCGAAACAATGACACTTTGTTCGATGACCTCATAAACAGCGACGCTGCTGAAAAAAATAAGGTGAGCTATCATCCCTTTCCTCTCGCTGGCCATTCGGTGGATACATTATTCTCAGAAAAGAATAGCCAGAAGCACGCTTCGTTCGCCATATGATGTTACTTATCTGTTTTGTGGTTTTCCAAATGAAAAAAAAACCCCCGTCTTCTAATATGTACAAAGCCTTCCAAGAGCACTGGTAACTTTCCGTCATGAATGGAACTGTGGTATGATTCTTCTTTGTCCCTTTGTTTCACATTCTTGAAAAAGTGCTGGAAAATTTGTTTCATTCAAAGATGGAAATGTGAAACCATTACACTTGCATGTACTTCATTTTATAATATTGTGAAATTGCAGGGAAAATATAAAAAGAGTGAAACAAATATTGGTGATGCCGAGGTTGCCCCAAGTCCTTCAAGATCTGTTGTGACAGGTGATGATACAAAATCTGTGCTGGAAGAAGAAACAGAACCATCGATTGAAAAGTCTGTGGTACTACTTGCTAGAGGACCTGTTCGCAATTTACGCAGCAATGTCGTTGGTTATGCTCCATACACATCAAGAAATGGCTGTGTTACAGAGCTACAGAATTTCGATGGAAACACCGAAAACTATAACATATTGCATAGTACACATCAATATGGCTTTGAAAATCCTACTTTTGCATCCAGTAGATCGGAACTTATACAATTTACATCAAGTAGTTCAACTCCCGATACAATACAGCCAGGTTTTAGCTGCAGTTCGTCACGCACACTCTGTCAGTTCTCACCCAGTTTGCAGCATACTATTTCATCTCTAGGAGATGTAGTGGATAATACTCAACTCCCTGATGATCTGTCGGACTTTATTCTAAAATACTCTCAAGAATATACGACAACAGTACGATCACCGGAAAGTGGTATATCAGTGAGGTCGAGAGAGAGTAGCATCGGTGATGGTAACAATCAGACAAATTTTGATAGTCCCTTGTATCGGATTCTTGTGGAAGATAATTGTGTTTCACCACTTTCGGCGAAAAGTGCACCACAGTGCTCTCCTGTGCTACCACGAACAGTTGCACAAATCCCTGTCGTTTTTGAAGAAAACCAGTTAGAAACAAATGCTGCTTCCAAAAATTTGTCAGCTCCTGAGTTCTTAACAACCAATCAAAGTAGAAGAGAACCGACAAGATCACGTTTAGCAAAATATCGCTTACGAGCTCTTATTAATGACAATGAAATGGTTGAAGCTTGGGCATGGTCATGCAGATGTGTTCAGGTCAATTTTGATTTTAATCTTCCAGCAAAATTATAAAAAAAAATATGCTGGAACATCATTTTATAAGGCCTTGCTATTATTAAGGTATGATTGCAAAATGCAACACATATGTCCTTACTTTACCTGTCGACTTACTTCATTTTTGGCATTGTTCAAAGTGATAGTGAACGATCTTAAACATAATTAGCCATACATTTAAATGAAGTTTTTGTAACATATTTTCATAACTCAATCGTTGTTTACTCACACTAGCGATTAAATTTTATGCTAAAAGGGAGGAGGAGAAAAACAAAGAAGGAAAATGGTAAAGTGATTAAACCTTGCACTGAATGTTGACTAAAAAATATCTGAAGCCTTTTGTAGCTTAACCTTTGGAGAGCTATTTGGCGTTTTTCTTACAGAATATAGATCGAAAACAATTGATAACATAAGTAATGAATGATTGCACATTCATGTTGTCTAAGTGAATGATTGTTGTATTCGCCATGTCAAGAATTGTGTTATAGGAACTCGAAGGTGCACTATGCTATCGGGATGAAGATGGCGATAGCCTTTTGCACATCGTGATTTTGCATATGGATCTCCCGAAAATTTATGCGCTTGTTGAGCAGATGTTAAAAGCTGAAGATGGTTGTACACGGCGAGCTTTTGATATACCAAATGCAGCCTTCGAAACGCCTCTCTATTTGGCTGTACAAATGAATAGGCCGGAAGTTGTGGCATACCTGGTGGAAGCCGGAGCTAATCCAAATCATCAGACGGCATCGCCAGGACAACAAACACCTTTACATTGTGCTGCATCAAATGGAATGGCTGAAATTGTTGATGTGATTTCGTTTGTTCCGTTAAAGAATTACACATTTATTACTGTCTATGATGCATTTCAAAGTTTTTCATTTTCTCATCACTTTAGGCTGATCTTAAAGATTTCAAGCATTGATTTTTGAATTCAACTTTTGCTTTATAGCTCACAGCTATCATCAAGAAGTTATTTTTAATTGCTTCAAAATTTCGACAGTACTATGCCATGTTTTAGATTCTTTGCGCTAGTGGAAAGGTCGATGTTAACATGCCCAATGGAATGGGACAAACGCCGCTTTTATGTGCTGTTAAGAAACATCGTGTAGGCCCAAGAAAAACACAACTGTATGTTGATAACAGTTCGACGATTCTGTGTCTTCTAAAATATGGAGCGAACCCTATGAATACAGTAAGTGCAAACTTCAAATCTCTTCGGTAAAGCCTCGAAGTGAAAATAGTTTTAATTAATTCTTTATCTTTTGATCATGAACTATGACTTCTTATGTTTCTTGTTTGGCTAAATGTGACGGCGATTGTTAGTCGTAAGCATTTATTCTTATAATATAATCAGTCAGTTACTTTTATTAATTAAAATTTGTTTCTCATCAAACTTCACTGATGTTTACCAACAATGCCTGTATGCAGGATTTATGTGGAAACAGCATTCTTCATTATGCAGTAAACAGTCTGGATGCTGATCTTATTGAGGTACACTTTTTATTCCTTAATATATTTGATTTCATGATTTCTCAATCATACCTTATTGCAGATATCTGTAGCGAAATTGTTATTTAGATAAATATGAAGCATACTTAGAATTAAATTAGTTTTCGAACTTTTAATATCTGGAACATTAAACTTGATCGTATCACTTTTGTATATAGATGAGCACTGAGATAGGTCTGTTATATCACTCTCAATATAAAATGCATTCAATCAGATGTTCAAGTCGTGTGTAGACGAGGAAACGATTACAAAATTAGCGAATAAAGAAAATATGTGTGGTGAAACGCCACTGGAAACCTTGCACTGTGAACCGGAACCACACGATGAAAAACTTCGTGCTAACGTTTTCATCAGCTTGTTAAGATGCGGTGCCACTGTTAAATCTCATTGAATTTCAATTTCAGTTTATTGTTGGTGTTATTGTTACTAGGGAAGGGAAACTGAATTAGTAGTTTGTGTTATTTAACCTTATCCGATTTACTTTCAAATCTCTCCATATTATGAGTTATTTCTAACTGATATTTTCAATTTAAAGTATTAAAATTAGACATTGATGTCACACATTTAACTCCAATATATTTTTCATATCGCATTTTTTTTCTTATTACAAATCCGTCTAATCATCTAGTCTTATCAGTTTACTGTTTTGATGATAAACTTCTTGCTATATATAAAATCGTAATTTGAGCTTATCGTCTGAATTCTGTTGCCGGTAGAGGAGATCTATGTTTATAACTTTTATATACAAAATGTTTAATACTATCATACCTCAGTCACTTGTGTACCCGGTGATTCTTGTATTCATTTTCTGTTCTTTACAAATATCTGGTAATATGATATATAAGCAAAAAAAAACAATTGTTACTATTTCTGTGGTATTTCCATCATGTGTACAATTTTCGGTTTAAACCTAAATCATTGATATTTATGTAAAATTATCGTAGCTGCTATTATTGCTGACATTGTTTGATATGAAAAATCTCAGGCCCAGGGCATAGATGTTTGGCTAATTAATACACACGACCAAATAGATCTTTTGGAGTGAAAGTGAAAGGGACATATTGGTCATAGAGGATGTTTTTTCCGTCTCACTAAACTTTCCTTAAAATAAGGATTACAAACTTGGCTTTTTCTGCACTGTTAGCTATGATACTTGTTAGAAATGTACTTCTATTCCGAAGAGAATGGCAAAGAAATATTTCATAGCTGGGGTTTGGCGATAAGGATGGATTATGGTGTACATGAAAGATTCATCTCCTTCGTTGTCATAGAATATGTTGATTGGTATCCTACATAGTAAAAGAAGCTGTCTAAGGCATTTTCAAATATTACGAGGGATTATGTAGTTCATAAACCACTCTTCAACAAATGAATGACGAAGTAGAAGATAGAGAAGGTGGGATTGGTAGCAGATCCTATTTGCTATACATTATACTGCCAGTATTGCCAGAGGCCATAGAATCCTAGCAAATAGTTAATTATTAGTAATAATGTGGAAGTTACATGAATGGTGAGAAGGAAGACAAGTAGGAGCAAGCTTTGGTAATTGTTTTCAAAATTGTTTCAAAAAAAAAAATAATTAAATCTATTTCAGTCAGTGATATAGAAATGTGTAAATTAAACAGATGCTTGTTGAATGTTTGATAAAATTTAAATCAGCCACTTTATAACCGTGGCAGTTATTTCAGTAGTATCTTTGAAAGAAGCGAACATCTCTAAATTCGTTACTACAGTTAATTCAGCTTTGCCGGAATGCGAGAACATTACGACTGAGTGATTGGCTTTCGTACTGGTAGGCTTACTCAAATTCTTGATGTAGATTCTCTCTATATCGATGTCTTTCAATTTCATGAATTATCGCCCATTTCTAAGGTATTAGTAAAATTTTACTTCAATTATTTTGTTTATGGAGACTTTCATACTTTTGAAAATATGTAAATGTAGTTTTCAACTGTTTAATTTAGAACACAAAGTTATGAAATTGGACGAAAAAATAGTTCGAACACTTTGAAATGAGATGTCTGCTGAAGAGACAGAGCAGCAGAAATCTTTAGGATATTATCTTCACTGATTTAGATTCCTTTGGACTTGCGACATTAGGAATAATGAATTAGCTTCAGACATGATAACTTCGAAAATTTTTCGTTTTCCACTTCTCAGGAAAGGATTGATAGCTGTAAATGATCTGCGCATTGTAAATATTATTCAGAACCAAAAGTTAATATTTCTTATTCTTTATCAGAACCAAAAGTTAATATTTCTTATTCTTTGATGTAAGAACGCAGAACTATTTAGGTGCGGTTGATTAGACTGAAATGTATGGATTATAGACTTTTAAATCAAATTCAACAGAAATATGAATCATTTAGTTTCATGAAAATACATAAAGCTTTTCAGATAATCAACCAAATTCAATTGTTTTGTTTCTTGAAACATCTCTATTCCTCTTCACTTTGGTAATCTGAAAATGATTTTGCCAATCTTTCCAAAAGTTTTCAAAAGACGTACTTCTGGAGTAATATGAAAAAACAAGTGGTGCGTAGATGAAAATAGGCAGTGACGACAATTTCATTCCATTGATATCTTTATGCAGTGTTCTTTTAAAATGTACCATAATTTTTATCGTATAATATATTAAATTTTAAAAATTATCTGCTTATTTTAACGGGTCGAAATTCAGTCTTTGAAGCTATGATCTTCAGTCAATTGAATTATAGAAATATTTCGAACATTGTATAGACTGTTGAATGCGGTTTCCGATATCAAGCAGTTTTCAAAAACTGAATTTCGACTGTTAAAATAAGCAGATTGTTAAATTTATTAAAATAAGTTCTAGAAAGTATTAATATTTTGTTTATGTTTAACCGATATATACTGCAATCAATTTATCAGATGATAGACTATCGATGATTTGCATCGCCTATTGTTGGAAGTAATACTTTATGGAACAACGCTTTCATGATATATATTGTTGCTGAAATTCTCAAGTGTATAATTAAAACTGATCATGTCCAATATAACTTTTAGCAGCTTTATGTCATTTATAAAAACTTCAAACTTCAGGTTCGGTCAAAATTGTAAATTTTATGATAATGCTACCCTGTTACTTCCGCGCTGGATGTATAAATGTTACTTCGGCATTATCAAAAGGAATGTAATTATTAAAGAAATCATCATGGCTTCTCTCTTTTGTTTTATTTCCAACAACAAATCATAGAAATCTATTAAAATTAATAACATTGTTTAATGGTTCTTTAGACAATTACGGTGCTCCATAAAATTCGAATCTTTTTCATAATTTTAAAAAGGAAACAAAAAATAACATGCTGCTTTTACATAAATGAGTTGTTCGAATGAATTCTGTATGTTGAAAATGATAACAATTTCATTTACAGTCCAACATTCAATTTCTAAATCATTCTCCATTCCTTTGTCTATAGCATTCGACACTCATATCGTATATTTAAAACCAACATTGATTTGTGCAATTGCTCATTTATTTTGACCTTTACAGGATAATCTCGCATGCACATCTATAAAGGATATGACCTATGTTTAATCTGTTTCTCTCACAAAAATATGTCGCAAGTATAGAACCGCTCAGACCTTAAAATATTTCGCATAATCAATACATGAAGATGAAAAATTGTCAAGCTGGAAAAAAATTAAAAATTTATTGGTCCTCTTTTGATGATGACATCCATTGCTCTTTACAAATATTATTAGATAAATAATTTCTACATTACCTCGAATTCTCTATAACTGTGGTAGAATTAATATTCTTAATTAGTTTCATACCACGAGAAGGCTGTAGACTATAATTGTCATTGTTATAATTATTTCTGTGCTAGTTTTTCCGATCAAACATTTTAGGCTCTCTAAATTGTTCTTTAAATATTTCATACATAGAAAGTTTATTAGCAATACTACCAGGTAAATTATCATTTATTATATCCTTTCCTGATGGCTGAGCCTTTTCAATATAATTTGCCATTCTAGACATCTAAATATTCCATTAATCTTATTGTAATTAAATATCCACTTCCGAATTTCATTTGTATTGAAGAGTAACCAAATTTTTCTTTTCTATTTTTGGGATTTTTACATTTTGGAAATTTTTGTCAATTTCTACACGTGAAGATATTTTTAGGATTTATAATTTTTGTTTGGTCCAACTCTTCACTGTTTATGCTTGCTCATGGCAATCAAGCCATGAAAAGACATAGAAAAGATTTAAGAAAAAAAAGCTGCATATTTCTTAAGAAAATTTGTAATTTGTTAACATTGAAAATTTTTGGTAATTCGTAACTTCTTCCCTGTTAAACTCGTTATTATATAATATTTGCAGCGATGTAAGCCAAATTCATTCTCACGCTGATGTTTTGGTAGCGGTTAATCAGCTCTGATTTTAAGATTTAATCTCGCTGATAAAAAGTAGGACTGATAAAAATGATTTTTAATTCCAGAATTTTTAAAATTGGATGATTTATATGATTATTGCACTCGTGGCTTTAGAACTGGAATTATTTGAAAACTGCTTTCAACAGCAGTGTATGGTTATTAAGTTTAGTATGAATGGCTCTTTAAAGTACAATAAATTGGTTACCAAAAACTGCTGACACAAATGGAGAACGATTTAGGTCGGATAAATTAATGTAGAATATTCGAATAAAATAAATGCATAAAAACAAACAAACGCGAAATTTAGGGTCATATGACCGAAAATTAAACAAACTTTATTGCTATATGTTATGGTTGAAATCAGTACCAAAGCCCATGGCACATAAACATGGCAACATTGGTGATGGTAAGGAAAAGATAAGTGGTAAGCGAGATGTTCTCCAGCCTTCTGATGACTCTTTTCCAGCAAGCTGGTAGACAATGTTTCCTTTGAGCTTCTTCTTTCATTTGTATGAATTCTCTCATCAAATTAACGAGTAACTCGATTCGTTGCGTATTTATGGGTGGTGATGCATCGGCAATCGCTTCCGATATTGCTGTCTCTTGATGACATTCTGTTATATTAACCTGTAAAAAGAAAAAAAGAACTTCCTATTCAAAATAAAAATAGATTAGATAAATCTTTTCTGTTGCAGTCAGTCTCTATCTTCTAAGCGAGTAACTCAAAGTTACAACATTGTTTCACCAAAATTAATTAAAATAGCCGATCAAAATCCTAATAATTTTTTCAGATGAAATGCTGTGCTGCGGAATTACCTGGAAGATCATGAGATCCTAATGCTCCATTATTTTAGCTGGGAAATCTTTTGCTATTCATTTTTTACTATTCATCACTGATAAGCACTTGGTTAAAACTAATTGAGGTATTTCTTATGTTATATTTACGAATGCTGAAGTCACATAGTGTCATCTAGCATCATAACTTTAATTGGCCCATGGAATTAACCTGATATCCATTATTTATGAATCCAAAAAATTCACGAAAGGTAATATTCAACATTAGGGAAATGTTGGTGTAGAAGTGAAACTGAGGAAATCTGTTCTCATCCTGATTTTATATTAAAAGAGAACCGTTGGCTGACACCATCAAATACTTGCCTCAGTAGGAATTATATCTCGAAATGTGAAGCTATCGGAGATTGAAGTGACAAAACGTGTCGTAACATCATGATTTCGTTTGATGTCTTCATTGCCTGCTAACCGAAATCTTTTCGGCACATAACAACAGAAGAATTTCTTAGCAGACAAAAATCGTAACCACCATGGAATTGCCTTAATTATGAGCAGAGTTATACAACCTTTTATCATCTATTCTAATTATAGTATTATTTTGCTTCTGCTGATGGATAGAGTAAATAATGCATAAATGATTATTATTCTATCAAATATAGATATTATTAAGCATTCACCTCAATGTATTGATTTCGTAAGGCATACTTCTCTAAATAAACAAACATTGAACTGGTACAAGTAGCGACACTTATAATAACCATTTGTATCATATGAAATACAGCTGAAATGTTGATATCAAGTGTAAAAATAAACCATAAACTGATAATTTCTATCATTTAAAATGCTACAAATTTCTGCATAAATGAAAAAACCAACCAAGCAAAGGCACATCACAAAATGAGCCTCTTTGTCCAGGAATTGATTCCGGCGCAAATTTCATTTCATCAGCTAACATCAAAAGCATGACAGACATACTTAGCAACGTTATGATTCCCAAACGAAATTTACTTTCGTGTCGACGAGTTGCATTTAACGGAGTGTGGAAACCAATGACCGCTACAAGACTTACCTAAATGAAGCAGTGAAGCATTTGGTTTTATTTCAGTGGGATTTTTTTTTAACTGAGATAGTTCTTTAAAATATTTTAATCACTAATGCAGGAAAAACAACTCTATTAAGATTATTGCGTTATAAAAAGCTTTTTTATGTAGACAATTCTGAATGATTTTTTATAGCAACAAGTATGAATTCTTCATTAATCGAGACAATTTCTTATTAAAAGAATACATTTTACAAGAAAACTTTCTTACCAAAGTGATTGGAAAAACAAAATTAAAAACGTAATAAAACGACTGTCTCCGAAGAATCAAAATCATATAAATAGTTGAAAAAGATTCGTGCTCGAGATATTTCACTGTGCCTGCAATTGGTAATATAATTATAGAAAAATTAGGTCAAAAAGTTATTTTATTTTTATTTGGAAAAAAAACTTAATATATAAATTTGAATAACTTTGAGATTGCTTAGTAATGCGACAATTGCGATTAATCAGCATAACGATGTAAAAATACCATATCAATCAAACAAGGGTAAGTAAAACTTTATCATAGGATATAACCATTGTGTATAGTAGCATTTTCTAGTAGCCACTCTTGACTGTCGTAAAAATCGTCGAGCAATACTTCTCGTTGATCAACAATCAAACTTACATATTCATATTGATATGACCATGAACCACACTGCAAACGATCTTTTTCATCAGAAAATTCATTTGTTGTTAATCTTTTTATCATTTTTTTATGATTTAAATGAATGAAATGAATGTGAATCATTCTTAACTGAAATTATGGTGATACAATATCTTTTCCGATATGATCGAAGATGCACAGTAAAAATGTCGATTTGATTTAAAAAATGGCGGAGCTAAAACTATGAAATGTTGAAAAGTAGTAATCACTCTACTTTTATCTTTTGAAAAGACCCAAAAAGATAAGAAACAGTCATTTTTAGAAGCAGATGAAATACAAAAATTTTGATCCAAAAATTTTAGCAGCTTATAGCTTATGTTAACGCAGAAACGGAGGACATTTTAACATCGTACTGCAGGCAACAGCTGTAGACGATTAGACGACCAAATGGTAAGTAGAAAAGCGGTTTTAATTATGAAGATAAATTAGCTCGCAATATTTAAAACATGAGCAGAGATAATAGTTGATTTAGTACAACAGTTATTAATTGCCGGAATTTATTTCTAAAAGAATTGGGAGGAAATTGCCCGGACTTTAGAGATAATTAGCAAGATAACAAAAGATAATAGATAAATTTATTTGTTAATCTGAATATGATTGTAAAAATATAGGAAAAAATCAGTGATCTGTTTTGGTTGGATAATTCAAAATTACTGTAAAAAATTGAAAAAGTTTTAATCCGTAGATTGCTTGGTCAAAAGCACATGCATGTTGGTATGATGGGGTTTTTTTTTTAAAATAACATATCAGTGGAATTTGAAATAGAAAAATACACAGTACTGTTAAGACAAAAATAATAATGTCTACCGAGATAGAAAAAATTTCGAAAAAAATTCGATCGATAAAGAAGGCTATAAATATTTTGGGATTCTTGAGCCTGTAGTCATATTTATCGGCTGAAAAATTCATCAACCGATGTATTACGACGTAACGAAGTAAAGATATGACGTGGCAAAAATAGGACTTCTGCTAGGTGATTAAAAGTTGGAAAAATATTGAAATGAATGAAGGCAAATGCAATAATTTAATTTTGCATGAGAGTTGAATGGGAAACTTATGATTTCAAAACACTCCACAGTGTAATCGACTGGCTGTTACTTCACGTGAATGTCTGTTTAGAGTGCTGAAGAAAAAAAAAATGATTTAACTAAATAATTGTATCAGTAGAACAAAAAAGTGCTCATCCGAATTCTTAAGGATGATTAAGATCAAAGTAGAAATGCGAGAAAGCGATAGTTAATTGAGAGAACAATAAAAATTGCTATATAGATTACATTGAAATTATCATTCTTTCTATTAAGAATAACCTTGTTAAATTAAGAGATAAATAAGTTCCTAGAAAATATCGTCTGTGTTACTTGCATATAACACATTGATCACCTTATCAATGGGATCATCTTATTATAAATCGAATATAAATATTAACAAAATCAGATTGCAGCTATGATCCACTAAGCGAGTTGCAATTTTGTTACAAATTGAGATACGCAGACTATGCAAAAGACGATGGAAACATAAATCGAAAAATGTAGTAGAAATTGAAATTGTTTGAAATATTTAAAAATTTAAAAATAAATAAATTGAAATCGATGCCGCCATTTGAGAAGATAATCAAATTGAAGAAACGCATTAAAGTATCATAAAGCACTAAAATTTGAAATTTAAAGTCCTATAGTTGGGAAAAGTCAGTAGTATTTATTTTAGCAATATCAGAAGAGAGAAAAATAACTGGAGATGATCGGAAGAAATAAATGAATAACCGAGAAACAGATGAGCACGGCCTAGAAAATCATTTATGTATAATAACTTACTGATTCATAGGTTTTGGGTAAGGTTTATAGCAATAACTTCTAAAAGTTCAGTCCAAAACAACTGGTGAGCGACTTGCATTCTTAAAATGAGAAACTATTTGATTACTTCTAGATTGCTGCAGAATTTAAATCGATAAAGATTTTAGATAGGTAGGAGTGAAGGTACATTTAGCTAAAATTTAAACAACTATAATTATTCTATTTCTTTTGAAAGACACTTTAAATATCGTTGAATTATAATTTTGCATTAAGGAAACAGCAAGAGTGAATACTGATTTCATGTAATATACTATGCATGTACAATTGTTGAAACTTTTTCCATCATCTCACAGAAGAAATTTTGGTAAAACTTGGATCTTTCGTATTTTCTTCACCAACTACAGTAGTTATTTTTATTGTTTGAAATTATTTTTCTGCTCCTCATTTAGAACAAAAAATCGAAAGAATTAATTCCATGGATGTGTTGTTCACTTTGCACGATAGTTGATTTGATATGTCTGCTTATTTATCTTATTTTATTGTTTCAATCTTCAACTTTTAATTAAATTTGAAATTGACTTACCGCAAATGTGCAATTCTGTACATCGAAAGGGAAATATTTGACATTTATGGGGCACAGGACACGCGCAGTAATGGGAATAAAAACGCGCAAACGACCATTGGCGTTAATTTCGGCCACTGCATCAGGTGCATAATCCACAACTTTACCATGTATGCTGAAAATTATCAATGCTATAGTAAATATGTTGTTGAAAAGTGGCTAACATTATTTAGGAAGTTGATGCAGATTTCTTATTGCTCGAAAACTCGGATATATCACTTCATCTTTTTAAATAGACCTCAGCAGCTCAAAAAATTTATTATCATTCATGGATACTTTTCACATTGATATAACAAATTAAATCAAAGTGTTTAAGTGTTGGCTTTCTTCTCGGATATTTTTGTTCATACATCTCTTGTAGAGTGCTATATGTTCTCACATGATATAGCTGATAATAACAATAATGAATTCCGTCGTGTTTTGAAATATAGGTGGTCTGATCGTTTTGAGAGCGCTGCTTAGAATTAATTGAACAGATGCAATGTTTTTGTCAGTATTTGTTTGAAGAAAAGGTCATCGCTTTCAGATTCTTTTAATAGTTCCCTCTGCTTTTAAATCATTTTAATAGTAAAAGATAGTCAAGACACACCTGTGATATAAATACAACTCAGGTTTCCAGAACCATTTGGATGGTATAAATGTTCTTGTTATATTATCGAATTCACTAACATTCCACCTTAATGAGGAATCAATCCACCATACATGGAAATAGCCAGATATTGTCGCTATGTTGTTTCGATGATCCTGAATCGCTAAGATAAAGAATTTTCGAACAGTAGGAAAATTGCTATTATTCTTTAAAAAATTTGTTAATTTTTAACGCATTGTATGAAAAATTCAGAAGCGCAGTTTCAGTTCTTAATTAATTTTGAATAGTCATAAATCCCTTAATCTGTTATTAATTTTAATTTTCGACCTCAATTTGTCTTATAAATCATAGAAACGACCCATAAAAGTGACTAATTTCTCACGTTGCAACGCTCCCTTTTAACCTTCCCATCCTCCTCATAGCGCTTCCTTCATAAAGCATTACTTATTGTTGATAATAAAATACGAACTAAGTCGAAAATTTGGTATAGTGCAGCTCGGACATGAATTTCGGTGGGAGTGTGAAAATTCAATACAGGTCGTTGGAAAGGTCGTGCAGCTGTCTTAATTTGATCCAAGAGACGTGTGTGAGCATTTGCAATTTTCCTTTCATCGGAATAATCCTCACCGCCAATACTTTGCTTATTAGCTAACATATTCGATTTTCCAATTTTGTTAGACACTACGTCATTCTCTTTTGATTCAATCCATGCCTCTGATAAAAGACCATCATAACTCACTGCAAATTCTTTTTGAAATTATTTTTAAAAAGCCAATCATTTTTACGAAGTAAATTGCTTGTTTTACTTATTTCTTTCATATTTTTTTTTATTTTGATATTAAAAGAATAAGTATTTTTTTCTTTCACTACTCCTACTCAGATCATAAACTCAAATGACTGACGTTGCACTGCAATAATTTGTAAAAAGCTGTGCGTGATGGCATATTCCAGGCGCATTAAGAGGCCGACAAAGCCAGATTTCAGAATAACTGATGCCCACTTTTGATATTGCGAGCAATAAATTTTGATAAATTCATAATCATTATCTGAAATGGGATATGTACATTAACCAGAATTACTTGACGGTTTTTATTTCATATTGAGAAATGGCAGAATTTTACGAAAAATTAAAAATGGATTTTTTGTGAATTATCCGTGTTGCACTAATTTCTGACTAGTTCAGCAAGTTCTCATAAAAATGAAATTTGATTCAAGTTCACATTGTATTTATTATGACATCATTAATAACCTTAACACGCATCTCTTCCGGATGGTTATGAAAAAGTATATTGATGAGATGGAAAAGAATATTATTTGATAATCGCGTCAATAATGGCAATTAAGTTTTTGAGTAAAGCGGAACCACTGATTTAATAATAACTTTGTAAAATAGAGAAAATTTTGTTACTTTATAAAAAGTCAGCAAATCGACAAGAATCAATATAAGACAATCACTCCTCAGCTTTTGACCATGTCATATAGATTAAGCTTTACGTCATTTGAGCATTTGTTAGTTTTACTCAGAAATTAAGGTGCAAATAACAGGAATAATCTCAACTCAACGAACAATCTGATAAAGTTCTGGCAAGCTTAATTATTTTCAATCACAATCAATTATTTTTCTTTGGGTCTTCTATTTGCATTTTTTTATCGGATAGCAGATCAAACTATGATCACTTATAAGAATACTACTCCATCGAATAATTATCTCATGCGATCAAATTTTCACTTAATCAATTTGATTTGTTAAGAAAAATATTCTGCCCAAAGAAGACAGCACATATATTTATATATAATCTTTTTTTACGCATATTATTGTGCTTAAGCTTTATTAAGTCTTATTTATTAAGTTTATTAAGTTTTATCTTAAGCTTCATTAAGTGCTTTTTTTTTTAAATCACAATGCCGCAATTTTATTTCCGCGCATTCATCAATGATTGTGCTATTTTTTTCTTTTTTGCAATTGATGTGTATACGTCAAAGTGACTTATCAATATTGCATTTGCTCCAGGACTGAAAGAAGAAGGAAAAATCGTAGTGGTTTCTAATGACATTATCGCGATTTAAAATGTAAAATATGAACTTCAAATTAAATTAATTTTCATCGGATGATAACAGGATTGCAAAAAGAAATACGCTTTTTTTTACAACAAGTCATAACATCGAATATGATTTTTTATGCTGCATTAATTATATGAACTGAAGACAAAATCTCAATTGTTGATTTAAAAAATCATCAAATAAAAATCAAAAACATCATAGTGTTTATGAATTGTTTTGAAATATAATTAACATTTGCAGAATCATAATAAACTGATTGTGCATGAGAGAAATGAGCTTGTCAGTTATATTAGATATTTTAATTTTGCAAAAAAAATCATATAATCTAAATGTAAACTTCATTGAAATATATGCAAAGCTTTGTAAATTTAACAATTTTTGGTTTCTAATGGAACAAAGACAAAATAGAAAATAGGGGAAAAAATGTCCTCACAATTCTGCATAATTTTTTAAGCTTGTAACATACTTTTTAAAAACCTCGCAAAAAAAAATTAAAATAAAAGAAAATTGGAAGATGGCAAAAGTGTACAATATGTACGCGGTACAATCATTGTCAGCCATCCGCTTTACTGCCTAATTTACGAATGCTTTTCCTCCAGAGAATACTTCAAAAGCCAATAAACTCAATGCATATGAAGTTTCGAGATACGTAGCAAAGATGTATTGTGCATTTCTGGCTATAACCAATAAATAAGCTAGCGTGCTTGCACACTCAGACTCATCACTTTATTTAAATGCATGAGCCGATACTGATACCCTGAAGAATTGGAAATTTTTAAATATTTGAACTTTTTTAAAATCAAAACATATTACATCACAAATCTTAAATTATTTCTATCAATAGTTTGAAATTTTATTTAAAAGAATTTTGAATTTCAGTGCAAAATTGTAAAAAATTTTCAAATTAGACAAAATAATATAATAAAGTTAAATTTATACAATTGATTCAGTAATATATTTTATTAATTCGTTTTTTTTAAGAAAAATTAGATACAATGGTAAATTAGATATAATGGTAAACATAGGCTCGATGAATTAGAAAGATTTCAAATAACGAGCAGCTTTTTTGTTTGAAGAAAATAAGAATGCAATCTGGGCAGGCAATGATTTATGAAACAATTGCTTTCCTCAACGGATATCGATCGCTGGCTTGTTAAGCCAGCCTTCAATTCACCAAACTATTATTTTGGCAACAAATTCAACATCAGATTAATTAACTTATCAACTAATTTACAAACGTTCAAAATCATTTTTTTTCAACTAAAAAATTCTATTCTTTCTGCATTTCCTGTTTCAGCATTTTTAGAAAAACATTAATTTTAATTTATCGTTAGAAAAGTTATTAGTTTGATGTCATTATATTTTTTTTCTAAAAAAAAAAAAATTGTTTTCTCATTTTAAGCTACTTTTACTTATTTATTACTTCAAAATTTAAGAGGATAAGGTATGCTCAGTAGCAATGAAGAATTTTAGCACTAAAAGTTACCACTGAAATTATGAATTTTTAAGTGGAAACAGTTTGTTGAGAACTACAATAGATAATAGAAACAAGTAGAAAAATAATATTCAATTGATTAGTTTAATTAAATTGAAAACTAACTTTCAATAACTTCAAATTTTGTTTTTTTTTTTGACCTGGGAAACGAATAGTTCAGTAGGTGGGCAAAGCTAATACATCCACATATTCCCTTTATCAAATATTTTGGTATTACTAATTAAAGGGACATTGAAATGAGATTTAATAATGTTTATAGACTACTTCCATAAGCAATATTGACAGCTATTTGGTGGAGAATGATCACTACCCTGCTTCGACAGGGGTTATTGTCAGTGTATAAGTGTAATTTAATTCAAAACAAAATGGTATAAACTATGCCTTCTGTGAAAATACCTTCTGTGCTAATCTCAGTGTACGTAAAGCATCAGTTAATTCTATTTCTACTAATTCTCTGCAATTATGGCCCTTTTGCCCCTTCTCCAGGAGCGAAGTGAGACGGATAATATAACTGACAATAGCTGTAAAAGTTATAATTCATATTTTATGACTTCTGGATACTACAATGGCAACCGTAACAATCATGCAAAACAGTCATTTGCCTTAGAAAAATTTGAAGAAGACAACAATCATCGTTGAAGACATCAATTACAGTTTCAGTTATTTTTTTAAAGGCACAGAATGATTCAATTCATTTTATTATTTAATGCTCATTAATATTTAGTATCTAAAGGTTTTAGTGCTAAATATCAATATGAAAAAAAAGCGTAACTGCATCAAGCTGTCAATACTGTAACAAACTAGCAACCGATTATTACATGTTATTTGCATGTGAGAAAAGTGGAATGGAAAGGGATTTCCATGAACATTAAGAATGGGCGAATAAAGCTAATTAATTGATTTAGTCTTCTGAAACGATCTTCATTTAAAGATGTTCGACATTTAATTACACACATTACTCTTCTATTTCTTGTGATATAAAGGAAATCTAACCATCATTGTACTATAATGCATATTTTATTTTCCTTTATTGAATGAAGAATGCATTTTCAAATATGTCTTTTTACAACATGAACATCAAAATTCTGTTAAATGCACCATAAAAAGAAAAAAGTATGAAGAAA